GTTCCACCTTCCTGGTACATGATAAACATTTACTAATTAATCCTCACAAAGCTTTGGTGAGGCAGATCTCTTCACACCACTGATTCTGTTTTATAAATGGGAACAAGAAGGTACAAGATACATCCTTTGAAGCTGGGGTTGTGTATGTCTTCAAACATGATTGGGGGCTCTGGGAGCCCACTCAGCATCTGTGTTTGAATACAGAGAGGTTTGTAAAAAGCCTTGGAGCCAGGATCAGAAGTCAAGGTTTCTTTGTGCCCCTTCACTGTGCTAGACCATCGTGGCATGTTTTGATATGATTCTTCAGCACTATCTCCAGAACACTGGTATTTTTACTGCATGATCATATTACTTTGCAGGAATGGTATTTAGATGAAGAGCCAATGGTCTTAAGCCTCAAGTAAGAGCAGTAGGAATTGGTCCATAATGTAGCTGCTAATCATGTCGAGATTCAAGGAACATATCACCAAGTGGAAGCTGTTATTTGCAGAAGATCGGTATGGATTGTATGGGATGTGTGTTGTCAAATAAATGTGGACATAATTTACACCAGGACAGTGGACTATCCATGACTATAGACAAACTAGAATTATTTAGTGTCATATTAAGATTCTCTCCTGTCTCTCTGTTTAAGGCAAAAATAAACACAGGATATAATGAAAGGGAGCTTCATCCCAGCACTGAGCTGCATCAAAAGTAGGGATCTTTCCATTGATTTCAGTTTAATTTTTGTCTGCTTACACAGGATGCTAATTTGAGTTTGCAGCTGATTCCATGACCTATGCAAGGATCCCATGCAACACAGATAGAGACTCTGCAATACTCATCAAAGAGCAAATAAAAATGGGGATGGACACAGCCCAGAGTGAAACAGGGTTGTGTAGACATGATGTTTTGTGTTAAAACAGTGGGCTAAAGTCCAATTTCCCAGTTAATCCATGCGTTAGTGTTTAAAGTATTGCCGTGGTGGCCTAACAAGTAGTCTCCCACTTTCAGGCACTACCAAGCTTAGCTGAAGGTCTGGCTTGGGCAAGGAAGCATTTTTTTCCAACTCATTTTTGGCTGAACAACATTTGACACAACAGAAGTAGTAAGTTCCCCAAAAGAACAACTCTGCATTGGTGATGGACCATCCAGAGAAAGCAATGCAACCTTTGCAGCCTCAGTAAAAAAAGCGGTTCAAGAGTTTATTATAATTTTTTGATACATCAGAGATGTCACTAATACTTTAAAATATGTAACAAAGAAAGAAAATGCTCTTTACTAGCTGTAGAGAGAGTGGTCCATGGTTAGTGCAGATCAGAGACTTTTTCAGGGTAGTTAGAAGATTGCTCCCATCCCACCCATCTTCTCCTTGAATTAATTAACATAAAAACTATGCTTTTACAAGACAAGACACGCTGGATAAAATTCTGATTTGCTTGAAGTCACTGAGAATTTGTCCATTGCTTTCAACAAGGGCAGGATTTTACCTAATATTTTTAACAGACTTTTATAAAATAGTGTTGAAAAAGATCTCAAGGGTCATCCTATCTCTCCTCTTGCCGCAAGGCAGGATCAGCTACATCTGTGTCAGCCCTGATGGATGTTTGTCTAACTGGTCCTGAAAGAGCTGCAACACTTGATAGCTCAGCTTCCATTTTCACCTGTCCCAAGATACGAAAAGAAAAAGGTCTTTGTTTACCAACTCTACCAGGATTTTTGACTGGTTTAAAGGACCAGTGACAATTTTAACATCTGATATCTCACGATCTGCTATGGATAGGAACTAATCCCATCCACCCCCAGAGGGCCTTCCCATGATTTATTGACATTTTTCCCTTTTATCGCTTCTTTTTGAGATATCTGACATGAAATCACATCATTCCGATTCCTATCTTGTCTTTTCCTCCACCATTTCAGTTCTGGTCTAATTTCAGTGGCTGCCCAATAAGAACTGGTAGTTAAAACTAATGTTTTTCTTTATCTGAAGGCCTGTCAGTCTTCCAGTGGTGCAGCATAAAGTGCATAATTTTAATTCCAGGTGTGAAATGCCAACTACTGTAATTATGTTGGCAACACGGAAAGGCAGGGAGGCAGCAGAGCAATAACGACCATGCAGGACTGGAGCCTCAGTGGGGAAGAAGAGAAAAAGGGGTGGAAAGGCAGGGAGGCAGCAGAGCAATAACGACCGTGCAGGACTGGAGCCTCAGTGGGGAAGAAGAGAAAAAGGGGTGGGCAAAAGAAGAAATATTTAAGTCTGGTCCTTGCAGCAGAGCACCTCTATGGTTTGGTTATGCTTCCAGAATGAAACATCACTGGTCATTAACTGCCCTTTGCCTGCAATCCAGTGCTCACAGAAACAAAGTGGGGTCTTTGCTTTGGTTTCAAGATGACCTGAATCGCACTCAGATATAATAAAACACAGCTTCTCATTGACAGGCAATATGAAATACACTCCTTGCATCCCCTGCAACTAGAGGAAAGCTGCCCCACAGCTGCTCAAAATACATTTATGGTTTAGAATGGGAAACACAGACACAAAGATTAACGTTTACAGCTGGTATTTCTGAAAGTAAAGGTCTGAGGCAGATGCTCACATGTAGCAGTCAGAGAACGAGAGGTGGATTTCCCATGCATTCTCTCTCATTCCAGGGTACACCATGCATTAAGCTTTCACAATAAATATATTTTTTTAAAACTTGCTACATGGAATCCAATAGCAAATAGCACAATTCATTGTTGATAAAGCATGTGAGAAAAGGCTTTGTACTTGGAGTCTGCTCTTAACCCTTACTGAGGGTTGTATTCCTCAAATACAAACACCTAACGATCTCTATGGGCAAAAGACAAGACAGTCAGTCTTTTCAACCAAGCCATATAATATCTAGTTTCATATATAATCACAAAACCTCCTGACATTAAAGGGTCCCAGCTTTGCACACAGAACAGAGTTGATTAATGCTGTCAGAGACTAGCAGTGGCCAAACCACAGTTTCAAATATGACTCTTTGCCAGAAGACTCCTCTGCACCATTACAGCCACCAAAGAGAACATCACTAGGAAGGCATCACTAGGAGGAAAGCAGTGGGGCACTGGAGGAAGAATGTTGTGCTGCTGGCCAGAGAAACCCTTACATGCTGTTTGCAGGAAAAATAGCAACTGACTTAGAGGCTGGGATGGACAGTCTGCATAGGAACTGGATCGTTGCTGGGACATACGACCCATGGCGATGCATCTTTAGCATCACCTCGGTATCTGTGGCTTTGAACTTCCTCAAGAGTTTGGTAGGATTCATGGAGAGTTGAAATCAGCTTCCTGGGGCAGTGGGAAAGCTCTTTCTGCTCAGTGCTGTCTAAAGAATAGGTTCCTGAAGGCATTGTTGTAGTTTTTGTTGAAAGCAGTGTAGATGAGCGGATTAAAAAAGGAATTTGAATAGCCTAACCATAGAAAAATACTCTTCCAAATAGGTGGGATGTCACATGAGCAGAGGGGGTTGATGAGCTCCGTGATGAAGAAAGGGATCCAGCAGAGCACGAAGACCCCAATAAGGATGCCCACCATGAGGGCAGCTTTCTTTTCCTTCTGCTCTCTCCATGTGTCTCCGTCCGTCTGGAACGTAACAGTAGCGTGACGGACAGTGAAGACCATCTGCGGCTGCGGGGCAGCTTCTTTTACCTGCCAAACACAAACACAGGTTGCACCATATGTGCCTCAGTCAGCTGATCCTGCACAGCAGGTACGCAACCAAACTATGCAAGTGACGGCCAGAGCTCACGGGGAAACGCGGGCCATCTACGTCATGCTCTAATGGAGGGGAGAGCGGTTGCATGACCCTCTTCCGGGTAGCAGAGACTATTTTTACGTGATATAGTGATATATGGGCACGTGGAATTGCTCACACAGCATCGCAGTAAGGTTATTTCCCCATTTACAATCAGATCAGTAGAACAGGCACACACCCACACGCCGTTTTACGTGAGGCTAGAAACTAAAGAGAGTAGTGATATATGGGCACGTGGATTGCTCACACAGCATCGCAGTAAGGTTATTTCCCCATTTACAATCAGATCAGTAGAACAGGCACACACCCACACGCCGTGCACAAAAGTCTCCTCGCCTTCTCTGAACCTATTGAGTTTAAGAGTCCTGGGTAAGAGAGGCAAGAAAATGAGCATACGTTTCCTTCCTCCCCCCAAGAAGTCTTTACAGTGCACAGTCACCGTGCCTGGGATGAACTGACATGACGCAGCCAACGATTAGGAAGGATTTACAAGGACGCTCTGCGCGTATGTCTTCTGTGTGGATAAATTCACAACCTCCCCAAAGCCACAGCTGCTCGCCAGGTTATCGTCCCCAGCGGAGACGGGATCCCATCCATCCACACCCCCACACGCCCCCCCGCCCCGGGAGGCGCGGTGACCCCTTACTCACGCTCGTGAGCACTGATTCAGCATTCCACGGGGGGACGTCTGTGAGTCACCGCACGCCCACGTGGAGCTCAGGCTCGCAATCTGGCCCAAAGTTGCTTTAGCTGCACCTTGCGTGCTCACAGCTGGGGACTCAGAAGGAGTCAAAAAACTGGGCTTGCAAGCTTTGCAGTCAACTTTCCCTTCAAAGCCTCCAGGATTCGCCGGGCTTCGGTGGGATGCTGTTTGTTTGCATGCTTTAGCTCTAAGTTTCCCCCACTGCTGCAAGGGCTTGTCTGCTACTAGCAGATGACTAGAGCAAAATACAACTGAGTTGACCTACCTCCAGGGCTTCTGGTGCAATGGGGGTGATGGAGTTGCTCTTCTGAGATCCAATTCGAAACTTGGCAGCCTTGTAGATCTTCCAGTACACAAAAAGCACCACGCAGAGAGGCAGGTAGAAGGCGCCAAAGGTGGAGAAGATGGTGTAGGAAGGCTCCTGGCTGACTTGGCACTCCTCGCTGTCCTCCGAGTAAGTCTCTCCCCAGCCAAAGAGCAGTGGGGCCAAGGAGATGAAGGCAGAGAGTGCCCAGGTGAGGGCAATCATGATGTTGGAGATGCGGCGCCGGATGCGGAGCGTGTACTCCAGGTGGCGGGTGATGGACCAGTAGCGGTCGAGGGCGATGGCCGTGACGTTCCAGATGCTGGCGGTGCAGCACAGCACGTC